GGTAGTTGTTAATTATGGCGAGCAGAATAAACTGCGAATTGTTTATAATTGTTCTATGCGAATAATTTTCCAACACCGGCGTGTCAAATTGAGGGACCGAATACGGTGGGTAGTCCGGACTATCGGCTTCGTATATAGCTATACTGAAAGAGAACGATGCGGCACGTCGTACAGCGGCCTCCGTTCAGCGGCACGTGCTGACATATGGGTTTTCGGGGCTTTGCTAGTATCTACTGAGGTCTTTGTTGCGGGGGTGGTAAATGGGATGTCATCGTGTTAAATGGTCCTGATGGTCGGGAAAGCAATGCCGATCCATTGAAAGGCTCCCGGAGCAATTCTTGCGGCTAATTCTAGCCGTTTATACGTTTAATTGTCCCTCTGCGAGGCCACCTGGACCACCACCGTTGGATGCGCGAAATGTTAGGAGCGGATTTGAGGATCCCCTTAACGGGGAACGCGTTTAACATCTCGAGCATGTGACCGGTCGCGACGCGACTCGGGTCTCACCTCGTCACTTCCCGCGGAGTTATTGATTTACGAGGGAGGCGTCTATCTCTTTCTCTTCCCGTACACCCCGACGCATTTAGGCACGGTTAATTCGGTTGGTCACCCGAATGGCCCGTCCGAGTAATTTATGTGAAAATCAAAGCGTTACTCTGACGCTTTAACCAGTAACGCTGTAACTTAACCTAACCTAACAGATATATCGGACCAAACAAATTCAATATCAACATCAGTCTTAATTAACACGGCGTGTGCCTGTATTTAATTATAAGCGATTTTTATGTCAACATTTGTTGAAATCGTCTTACATCCAACCTTTTCCTGAAGGTTTGAATTAAAAATGCAATTGCATTTAGATAGTTAAGAGCTAGTTTCACTATCTCCGATTGCCAACTGCTTAAAATTAACCACATTTACAGTAAGATGTCTATGCTTTGCGGTTATAGCAAGTCTTATATTTAATCGGCCGATTAAGTTAACCAGAAATGATAAAACTGGCCCTAACTTTGAAATTTGTAAGATTTGTAAATTTTGAAAGATATGTACAGTTAATTATAAACTTTGAATTTACTAGCTTAAATATATCTAATGAACAAAATGACGTCGTTTTGACGTTAATTTGCTACTTGGGGAGGATGATTGCGAATTATTTTAAATGTCTTCGTTTTATTTTAATCTAGCTGATAGTTGAAGAAGGTTGTTAAAACACGTTATTAATATTACATAACACGATCGAGTTATTATTTTAAAAATAATATACGACGAAAGAGTCGGAAAAAAGCACGCGCGCACAAAGCTCCGAAATTAATCCCTGTTGCAGTAGTAAGAGGAAAAAGAGATGTCTCTCGTCAAAGTGTCGTCGTTATCAACGTACTATTCGTCCCTCACTTGACGGGTCGTAAATCGTGTATCGACAGTCTGCGCAAAAGCGTGAAAAAGGCAGTGAAATAAAGAAATTAATGAAGTGCCCAAAATTAATGGAGTTCGAAATTCGAAATTCTAAACTGTTACAAAAAAATAAACATCAAACTAGAAATTGTATGTAACGAGAAAAGAAAAATGGAAAATAATATTATTTAAAAAAAGAAACAATCCAATCATTAAAATATAAAATTATTTTACAAAATTATTTGAAGATTAATCTAGTCTTTTTTTAATAAAATCATCCTAAAATGTATGAATAATTATGTGCATATATTGAATATATTGATATACATATATTGTATATACAGTTATGTACAAAATAATAGCACCGCTTGAAAAAATGAGGGGAATTTGTATGTTTCCTCCATCATGTTTAACTTGACTATCTAGGATTAAATTCTGATTTTTGTGGTCTTCGAACAAATTAACGAATACCAGGAAATCCTTGAATAATCATTTTTTGATGGTGGAGGAAATATACAAATTCTCCTCATTTTTTCAACCGCGTGCTATTATTTTGCACGTAACTGAATATCCATTCTCCAACGAGTCCAAGTGTTCTTCCTTTAAACGCTCTTTCCATTTTCTTTCTTGTGCGATTTTTATTATTTGAAATTTTTTCAAAAAATATATAAACTTTTTTTTACTAATAAAATAGTAAATATTCTACTAAAAAAATTTCTCACTAACATAGAATATGTAAATGAAAAATATAGACATATGTAACAACAAATGCGGAGGTAATGATTAAAAAAAAATATATATATGTATATGTATTTTCTTGATAATCTCAATTTCTAAAATAATTTTAAAATTATCTTTTTCAAATAACGTGTCATCACAATTATTTCTCAAAAATTGCTTGTGTTTTCCGTAATAAATAATAAATATCTTTAATCAATCATCGACGATATCTATGATATGATAATTAGACATTAATATAGGTGAATAGGCGACATTAATAAATGGCAAAATCGCTAGGCTGCAGAATAAGTAAGCAATTAGCGAAACGAGAAAAGGAGAGAGGTGATGAGAAAAATGGTCGGACGTCGGGCTGGGCGACGGATTGCGCCGCGATTTCCCGGAAAATGAATGCTATAAATAAAGCCGGCCGGCCAATAATTCCGTCGCGATCGAGCGACGAGAGTTTTTTCATCGGGATCGCAAGAGAGAGAAAAAAGCAGGACGGAAGCGGGAAGGGCAGGATGAGAGAGAATGAGGAGAACAAGGAGTATAAGAAGAAGGGGTGAGGGAGAGAGAAGACGTGAGGAAACGCGAAAACCTCCCCGAGCAAAAGAGGGTGGCAGGATGGAAGGAGGAGAGACGTGTGGCGCGCGTTCGGGCAGTTTGTAATCAAATTTAAAATTCCCAGCGCGGAGGAGGCTGATGAAAGAGTAACCAACCGACCCGATCGAAACGGGTCGTCCACGGGGTTCGTCACGTGACGCCGAATAAACGGGAGGACGCCGATGCTCTCTTCCGCGCGAAGTCTCTTCGCGCGCGCGTCACTAACCCTCTGCCTCTTCCCCACTCATCCCCCATCCCTCCATTCTCTCTCACTCTCGAGCGCTGAATTTCCCCAGGGGGCGGTGGGCGCCGAGATGGTACGGAGGCCGTATAAAAAGTTCGCCATGGACGAGGGGCTCGGCATTAGGGAGATAGGGGGGGTCGAAGCGAATATAATTTCAATAAACTCGATACTGTAATCGCGTGAAAATAAACCTCGTATATATATATATATATATATATATATATATATATATATATATGTATATACCCATACAGCACAGATTATTGCAATTATATTGCAGCAACGTTGCAATGTTGCAAGTTGCAATACAACATTATAAAGACATTGCAGAGATATAAGTGCACAAAATTCCAGCACACTTGTAGCAACATGACATTAATATTTCGGAAATATTGCATGTAATTCAAATTCTATAATTTATATATTGTAATATATATATAAATTAACTACAACGTATTTTCATTAATGATTTATTTACATTTATATACCTGTATATGCACTATTAGTTTATGGTTGCAATAACAATGCATTATTGCAAACTCATAACATATTGCAATATTGTTGTAATATTTTGTTGCAATCTTCCAAAAAGCGGACATTTTAACATTGCTGCAATTCAACAGCAATGATGTAGCAACATTTTGCAGTGAATTTGCAATATTGCAATATTGCGGTGAAAGATTGTTGTAATGTTTTTGCAATCTATCGGTGCTGTATGGGTATATATATCCCACACAACACAACAAAATTGCAGCAGCATTGTGGCAACATTTCATTTGCAATATTAGAACATTGCATAAACATTGTGAAATGTTGCAGCAAGATTGCTGCAAGGTTGCAGCAACGGTAAAATGTCCGCTTTCAGAAATATTGTTCTATAACATTGCAGCAATAATGCAATAAAATATATATGTAATATTGCTATTAGATTATTGGAAATGTGCCAAATACATGATCGGACTGAATGTACCTAATATTTTTTGCGTGAATTTTATTTTCATAATATTTCTGCAATATTGCTATGCAATGTACAATATTGCAATGTTGTTGCAATATTGCTACAAACTTGTGTGTTGTATGGTATATATGTATATATATACCCAGATAGCCACAGTAATTATTATGACATCAAAATGCATCATTTTGATGGCAAATGATGCATTTTGACATCAAAATGATGTCATAATAATCCCATACAGCACAGATTATTGCAATTATATTGCAGCAACGTTGCAATGTTGCAAGTTGCAATGCAACATTATAAAGACATTGCAGAGATATAGGTGCACAAAATTCCAGCACACTTGTAGCAACATGACATTAATATTTCGGAAATATTGCATGTAATCCAAATTCTATAATTTATATATTGTAATTATATATACATATACCCAGCAAACACCAAGTTACAGCTATATAATTGTTAGTTGTAATTTCCTACTCAAAAATATAATACGTGTATTATAACAATTATATTGTTGAGTGGAAAATTACAACTAACAATTATATAACTGTAACTTGGTATTTGCTGGGTATAATACTGTAATAAAATAATTTTTTTGCAATATTGTACAATAAAAGATGTTAACGATAATCAATAATTTTATTATCTTCGAAAAAGCGGACATTTTAACATTGCTGCAATTCAACAGCAATGATGTAGCAACATTTTGCAGTGAATTTGCAATATTGCAATATTGCGGTGAAAGATTGTTGTAATGTTTTTGCAATCTAACGGTGCTGTATGGGATTACTGTGGCTATCTGGGTATATATTTATTCCCGATAAATGTTTTTCCGTGTTCATATCGCATCGGGAGATTAACTTTCCGATGTAAACTATATATGTATTTATATTAAATGTATATGTACACACATATATATGTATGTACAGGGCATATGTGTATTAAAACTTCTTGACTTAGAATGACACCAAGAATATACATAGTTTCAGTATGGACATCACGCTGCGGGACATCCTGTACATGTAGTGTGTATATATATGTATGTAAAATCGAAGAATAATAATATTTTAAACTCACGTGAAGATGTCATGCTTCGTAAAACTTTCAAATGCTGTCACAGTAAGGTCACACATAGCTTCGTATAGGAGCGATCAACTCATACCCGACAGATCACGCTTAAAACTAAACTGAATATATCGCCGAATGATTTTGTGGTGTGCGAAGTTGTCAAAGATTTAGAAAGAGTTCGAAAGAAAGAGGAAAACATAAAACGCCATCGACCGAAGACAAGTGTCAAGCGTATACGATTATTCAGATGCTTACCAGTTTATGATAATGAATTCTGCGCACGTACCTGTATTTTACTGTAGATAAAGTAGATCTCGCTATTCGCATCGTCTCTCTTCATATCCCAGTTCTGCATCGATGAAAAATAATTAATATAAGTCAAGCAAAATAATCAATAAGCAATCAGACATTTTCGTTAAATTATAATTATATTTTTATTTTATATGATGATGATAATAATAAAAATAATAACAACCTTTATAATATACATATATTGCAGATATATCTATGCAAGATTTATACACATAAAAAATTTATTTTAATAATGACCACTTAAGCTGTTCTTTAGCCGATTGCAGTACCTGAAACAAAAAAAAACTTGTCATAAATAAATATATATAAATTATAACGCGAGTAACTAATGAGCTAATAAGCTAAAGTTACTCGCGTTTAAATAATCAAAATTTTTTAATTCTTTATATAAATTATCTATAAAAAAATTCTTATCATATATGTATACATATAAATCATTTATATGACCTAAATATATATATAAATTAAATATTTATAAACTTTCAGTCTTATAATAAAAATGACAAAATATATATATATATATATATATATATATATAAATTATATATAATTTTATATATAGTGTCCTAAAATTATCGGACCACCTGTTAAGGGGAGATTTCTAAGATTATTTAAAGACGATTTTTCCTCAGTGAAAATGTCGAGGAATGTCACACATTTTTTGCATGTCCCCAATTTTTGCTATCAGGCACATTTGCAGTTAAGTCTTAAATTAAAATTCTGTTAAAGTAAACTTTACCTGAAATTAACTGAAGAATGTAACTTTAATAATATTTTATTTTTATAGAGCTTAGTTGACGAAAAATCCTTTATTTCCAATTGCTTATAAACTTGAAAATAGGTGCCTCAACATTTTCACTGAGAAAAAATCGTTTTCAAATGATTCCAGAAGAATCTACTATTAAAAGAAAATAAAATGGACCCTGCATATAATATAAAATATATAGAAAAATTATAGTATTACTTGTGCTACTGTTTGTTCCCAAGTGGAATGTCATCCGTTCGCAATGCTACTCTTTGTACTACACTCGATGCGTCCGCATCCAGAATTATACTGAAAAAAAAATACTCCCTTATATAACTTCAAAACTTATTAAATAATAATTCTATTTACCCGCCATCACAAATCTCATCCATCGCCAGCATTACTATGTCCAAACTATCCAATACTGCTCTCTTCTCAACATTCTTCCGAAGGATCTGACTAACAGAGTCATACAGGCAGTTGAGAACACTCATAAGAATTAACTGAAATCAGCCCAGAATAGATATTAGATAATTGTGATTGTGTTTAAAGTTATTTAATGATTATACAAACTTCGTTCTCATGCGAACTGCCCATAACGTAGAAAAACAAGTCCACGTTACTTCTGTAAACACATGTTAAACCATCCAACATAATAATCTCAGCATTCGCCCTGTGTGTTTTACTAAACAGATTCTTCTCGAAAGTTTTTTGCTCCTTTGATGTTGGAAATACATTCTTATCGTAATACTTTGCCAGAATTCGATTGCCATCGTTGTCCAGGATGGCCATTCCCTTAACCGTGTACAATGTAGGTTCCTAAATTAATTATTAAATTCTTAATTAATTTTAAATAGTTAAAAATTAGTTAATTAATTTATCTAATAAATAAAATTAGGCATATTCATACATAAAACATACACACGTACCCAATATAAGTATAAATATTGACATATTTATGTATATGTCTAATGCAGTATATAAAATTATGAGATTTAGAATAATTTTAATGCGTTTTTCAAATTATTAACAACTTAATTTTTGCATTAAAAATAAACTGAAAAATGAAACAAAATAGAATAAAAATTAAAAGAATTTTTTAAATTGAAAATCCAAACTCTAACTTTATAAAATTATTAATTTTATAAAATTAATTATGTATAATACATATACACCTAGGTTTTATAAGTTGAATGTTTTTCTTTTAATTCTAGCTGTCCTTATAATCAATGTAAGAATAATTAGGTTATGTTGCACAAAGTTTCAATATTCACTATGGTTTATGCTAGAAACGCAAGTTTATCACTTTTACCGCAAACATATGTGTAGCATAAAAGTTTCATAATTACAGAATCAGTTGACATTTATTTTAAAAACTTACCAAAAGTTGACCATCCATGTTTACGTTAGATTCTTGTCAAACTCTTCGACCGATTTCGCTCGACGTGTTCAAAAAGAAAAAGACCAAAATGCGGCTAAATATAAAATTTCCCTAGGATTGGCAAAAAAGTTGCGCATACGCAAAAATTTCTTTTATTTATATTTTTTCAAAATATATAAATTCCTTCTATATACATTATTAAATTTCATTATTACAAAAGACTTTATACGAGAAATAAACAAAAAGAACATTATCTACATTTATACATATACATATATACCGTGTCCCATTTTAATGTCCCACCCCAAATAAGTTTATTTTTGATTGTAAAAAAAAAAAAATGTTTCAGACAAAAATTGTGTGATTTTGAGGTCTTAAGGCGGTGCCATTGGTTTGACCTTGAATAGTTACTTGAAAGTCACGTAAAGGTCACCTTGAGGTGAGGAGATCTTGTCTTATAACTCAAAAAGTACTTGAGATAAAAAGGTTTCATTATAGTGTTTTGGAAAGCTCTCGATGTCAGCTACAAGAATATGTAATGAAAAGTAGATGGTTCCATTTAAGAAATTGTTTGAAACATTTTTTTTCTACAATCAAAAATAAAAAACTTATTTGGGGCGGGACATTAAAATGAGACACCCTGTATATAGGATGATTAATTTTAATCACTCCAGACGAGTATTTCGAAAATTATGAGAAACAAGAAAAAAGTTTCAAACAAAAGTCTTTTGACTTCGAGAGGGAAATAAGATGGTATCATTGGTTTGACCTTGTATAATAATTTGAAGATCACATAAAGGTCACCTTTAATTTCTTAAATAAACCAACTATTTTTTATTGCACTTTCTTGTAGTTTATCTCGAGAACTTTCCAAAACACTATAATAAAATATTTTCCTCTTAAGTACTTTTTGAGTTATTAAGGTTTGAAGTTAACAATTTTTTAACATAAAATGTAAAGTATCTTGTAAAATATTCAGTTTTCGACCTTAATACTTTTATTCATAGAATAATGAGACCAAATAAATATTTTAAAAAAATATATAACTTACAACAATGCAATTTTTTAAAAGCAACTATGTATTTTCTTTACACCAATTGATTGGTCTCATTATTCCGGACATAAAAGTATTAAGGTATAATTATCGAAAATGAATATTTTACATTTTATGTCAAAAAATTGTTAATGTCAAACCTTAATAACTCAAAAAGTACTTAAGAGGTACTTTAGTATATAGTGTTTTGCAAAACTCGAAATAAACTACAAAAATATGCAATAAAAAATCTCTCATAGTTTTTGAAATATTTGCTTGGGGCGATTAAAATAAATCACCTTGTATGATAATACATGTTAGAATCATGAAAAGCAATACTACTTTAACTTTTAATTAAAAAGAAAGGCACCGGGCTTATTTTCTCCTGAAAATATTTTCTTTTTACTTCGAGCACTAATCACTCTTCAAGAGCTTCGTACACTTGCGAAATAATTCTGGCCCATTCCAATAACCCCTGCAAAGCATTGATAATGTAAAGATTTAAATTCTGCATGTATCCATTTGCAATTATATCATTATTTATTTATATAAATTAATTAAATTCATATAAATTAATCTTACCTTAACATCAAGTACCAGTATATAAACGGGAAGGCATACTTCTTCAGCAAGAATGTAAAATAAAATTCTTTGCCTTGATTCACCGGAAAAGTCTCCATAGGCTGCAAATTGTAGTCAAACTCTGCCAGAATGCATTTACCATAACCAGTGACCAAAGGACATGATGCGTAACCATTGTAAACCATTGTCATTGGTTTACCAGTTAAATCATCCATGATATTCTGATACAATACCTTTCCCTGTGCAGCTGTACAACAAATATTATATTTATAAAATGTATACATATAAAATTTTATATATTATATACATATATGTATATAATATATATAATCTTTAATGTACAATCTTTATATATGTTATTATTTATTATTTATTATTTTATATATTTTATATATATTATATTTCTAGAATATTTTTTACCTATTGCAGCCATTGTTTTAGAATTCGGAGTATTTGTGCAATCACCTAAGCCAAATATATTTGAATATTTGATGTGTCGCAGCGTTTTAGGGTCAACGCAAAGAAATCCAGCTTCATTAGTCAATATTGGGTGTTGTTTCAAAACTATAGGAGGTCCCATCGGAGGCGTTACATGGAGAAAAGAATACTAGTACAATAGTAAAAATTACTAAAATTTATCATATGTATTAAAATAAATTGTACTATTATTTCAGATAAAGAACATACGTCTTGTATCGACGTCTCTCCCGGCGAGTTTAATTTCTCAAATGTGGCCTGTCTCTTATTCGAGTCTATCTTCACCAGGTTCGTTTGAAGATTAACAGTGATATCTCTATCCTTACAAACATTCCAGAGGGAATCGGCATATTTTTTCACTCCAAATATAACAGGCAATGCCGTATTATATACAACGTCAATGTTGTTACGTAAATTGCGCTTTAAGTAAAATAAATGAGAATTCCTCGTCTGAATTAATAATCTATAATAATTTTCAGAGATGTACCTTGCGAAAGTAATCCTCGGCAATGTAAGCAATTTTTTGTGGCGCACCTGGGCATTTGACTGGTGTATTCGGAAACGTGAATATTGCAGTTCCTGATTGAATTTTTTTAATTTTCTCATAAACTTGGGGTACAGTATCAGGCCCATAAATAGAGCAGATCTGTGCATCGGGATCATGCAAACTCTCTACCAAACCTGGAATCTGTTAAAATATTTGTATTATTGCATGAATGTTTAAATAATCATACATATATCAATGAATATTACTATTTTACTATATCATACCTTATCCCAGTATAATTGCAAGCCCAGCGCAACAATCATAATGTCATATTCTATAGTATCTCCATGATGGGTCAATACTTTATTAACATCCGGTTGGAACTCAACAGCAGAAGCTTTCAGCCATTTTGCCTTCTTTGGCAGAACATCTTTCATATACTTCCTAGATGATTTGAAAGAACTGATGCCACCACCGACTAAGGTAAACAAGGGTTGATAATAATGAACCTGGAAAGATGACTTTATTATTAAAATGTACATGCAATTATTTATATATAATATATATCTGAATTCTTTTGACTTACATCGCTGGGTTCCAACACAATAACTTGCCCAGGTTCATCAAATTTTCTTGACAGCTTCGCAGCCATCGAGCAGCCAGCAGTACCGCCTCCAACCACCAAGATTTTACAGCTAAAAATAAATAATGCAATAAATTAAAAATATATCTCAAACATGAATGGCACAGTTTACTTTTCTATAAAACATTATACTTACGTATGATGGATTTGCCTGTATTCATGTCTCCCCAATACTCTTCTAGATAATAATGTAAGATTCCATGACAACAGTGGATGAAACATTGTGTATCATAGAAGTTAAATATGTGTAAAATATTCTTCTGTGTGTAAAATATTTACAAGCATAACAAACCTATAAAATATTTTCAAAAATTTTAATATACCAATAATTTTAATACATTCTATCAAGTGGATGGCAAAAGAAGATAGCGTAAACTCCAGATTACATGACAAACATGTACAGTGTGATAGAAATCATCGTGAATTATAAATTATCTTACCTATAAAACATCTGTATCTGTTATTTACATATTAGATGTTTGAATGTATTTATTAATTGTTTTTCGACTTTTTTGATACTAATTTTTTTGCATTTAACACTGATTCTTCTTTTCTCCTCTTCTTCTTTTCTTCTTCGAAGTATATAAGGTCAAAACACAGAAAATTATAATTAAGTGAATTGTTTTGTAGTTCTAGAGGTTAAAAATCTCTCCACAACTCTCAATGTCCAGAACTCGTGATAATAAACCTCCATCCAAATCAGAAAAAGAATTAATCAAAGTCTCCCTCGATGTTTACATTGCGATTCTTCACGAATGTAACATGATATATTACGTATCGGAAAAATTACACGACCTTGAGAAAAGAGTTGATCATAAAGATGACGTCATTTTGCTACTTGGGATACCACAAATTAATTTTAAAAATAATTAATTTCAATATAATTGCAAGATGAATCAATTATCGATGTAGAATAATATATATAATAATATTTACATATGTAATTTTTTCGACATACTAAAAAAGAAAAAAAATTAATTTTCTTTAAAAGAAACTCAGAATCCTACAAATCCATCACTAATCTGCGCATGCGCATTTCCGACATTTAAAAATGGTGCAATTGATAAAAAGTAAAAAATATATAAATAAAAATATATACATATATAAAAGTGGCATAGTTTTTAAGATTAATATGTATATATATAAGAAATAAATAAAAGGAGGTGATAAAAAAGCCTTTGATGATATAGTTTTATGATCGTTTGTTTGTTATTTCTCTCTTTATTGAGGATAACTTTTTTTTGAACGCCGCCTTAAACTAGGCAAACTCGATCGGTTCAGCCGGGTCCTCGATCGCGTTGAACTACAAATTGGAAAAATCATATCACGGCCGCAACTCCAAATCGTATATCTTACGAAATCGGAAATAAAAAAATGTGAAAAACTATATAAACTGTAATGACGGCGCGAATTCTACATTATTGCGGTTAAAAATCAAAAGTAAATCTGAATGAAATACTACACGCTATTACTAGCGCATTACATATTACACATAAAAATAATAATATTAATAATAATAATGATAATAATAATAATAATAATAATAATAATAATAATAATAATATAATAATAATAATAATAATAATAATAATAATAATAATAATAATAATAATAATAATAATAATAATGATAATAGTAATATTTCGCGAACAAAAGTTTCTTCGGCGATTCGCGATCGAGAACACTTATATTCGCGGTAAAAATCGCGAAACGGACGATTTACGAGCAGTAATAATAATGAGTTACATTATTTCTTCCTCCCTCCTCTCATCTCAGTGTGCACATCGGTTGTTTGTTATTTTTCTAAGTCCTTATAGCTAGAGTTTATTATGTACAGTATTGTGGACAATGATTCTTATCAACTTTCACTATCAACTTTCGCCCCCTCCCCTTCTTTCCTCTTAAATAAGAGAGCGCCGTTCCCCAAAAATATAGCAAACTGACGTCACTTTAACGTCAAAACGACGCACGCTTGCTATCTGGGTCGTTTTATTCGCAATTTAATATTCGGTTATTTGTTTTAATATTTTATGTCCTTGAATGTTCTAATTATCATTTGAAGGATTTTACTTATAAATTTTGAATACCGAGTCATTGGATGAAGTAACGTTTCAAATATGCGCATCTCATGAATATAATTATGTTAACATATTAATGGTATCAACATATTAATATTGATAAAGTAAAAAAAATCAATGTCAAAATAGATTTTTGAAAATTAAAAAAAAATTGAAACAATATCGTATAAAATGTTTATTTCGTTATTTAAGTATTTAATTATGCAATAAAAACTGCGTCTGATTTCGCATTGATAAAATTATTTTGTCAAAAATTTTCCAGCGGGTTTTTACTATATTTTTCTTTATACGCAATGCAAGAATATACAAACAAACATTATCATGTGTTGCTTCATTCAATAGCTCGAATTTTTAAATCAAAATCATGATAATTGCGAATTAACGAGAGGTATCTAAATAGAAGTGTTAACGAAAAATTGCTAAGAAAAGAAAAAAATATCTAATTCTATTTTTCGTCCTCTCTCTCTCTCTCTTTTCTCTTCTTCTCACGATAAGTTTCGCCAAAATAATTATTGTTATTAGCGCGATAAAATAGAAACTTGCATCGTTTCACTCACACTCTCTTTCTATCATGATAAAAATTATAAAATATTTCCGCCATATTGCGCAAAACGTAACGTTGCAATTTTATCGCGCCGGTGTTCGAATTTGTCAAATCAAAATTTTGTAAAAAATCTGTCTATTAGCAAAAAAAACACGATATATCACTTGCATTGTTATTACGTCGCTCTCTCAAATCATATACAGATCGATATTGTCGATGTCCGTATATAGATGTATTTAATTCGAAGAACAATTGTCGCATATTATTTTAAAAAATCCAAAAAAAGAGGAGGAGTCAAGACATGAAGTTACGCGTGCGAATCCTAAGCTTCCACGATGGAACGAAAAAAAAAACACTCTAATGATATAATTCGACGTTTCTTGGGTTTTTTTCGGCTTTTGATACATAAAAAAATGCTACCTACAAATAAACGCAATAGATTTCAACATTTCTTCTGTCTCGTATCTTGTTGTTGGATACAATGCGCACGCAATATAATCCGTAATATATAATTTTTACGCTTAACTTCTTACATATAATTGACATTTAAGTCAGAGACTTAAGTCGATCGTTATTGAGACTCCTGGCTCCTCACTCCAAAATAGCAAACTAACGTCATTTTGACGTTTAAGGCCGATTTTTCCAACTTCTCGATAAGTTTTACCTGACAGGTAACATATTTTCGTCTCTTTTCAAATAAGTTCTAAAAAAAGAGACAAAGATATGCTACTTGTCGAGTAAAATTTACCAAGAGTTGAAACAACCGGCCCTTAATAACGTCAGTTTGCTACCTGGGATCAGTGTGCATTTTCTCGCCTCTGAGGTCACAATCTAATATTACCGCGGCGAGGACCCAGGAGCCTTAGAAAAAAAAGAAAAAAAGTACGATCGTCGGTCGAGAATGAAATTTTGCGTTTTGGTACTCTAATAAAGATCGTATACCGCTTAACAAAGTATATAATAATATACGGTGATGTACGAATCATCGCATACGTATACATATTGATTTCGCAGATAATTATTCGTAGCGTAACTATACATCTTAAAGAGCACTCGACTCATATATGTGTGTATGTGTTTGTATATGTGTAGGGGGAGTTCCCTTAACGCCGGACGGCACCTAATACCGGACATATATCATGTCTATGTAAGTAAAAACGCGATCGAATGGTTATATCGGCGATAGGGCAGTGAAGGGGATAGTGATCCCTATCACCGATATAACCATTCGATCGCGTTTTTACTTACATAGACATGATATACGTCCGGTATTAGGTGCCGTCCGGCGTTAAGGGAACTTCCCCTACGTGCATATATATATATATATATATGCATTCGGCTTTCTGCGTGATACTGCATGTGCATCGAAGTAATTTATTCTCATTTGGTTTCTTTTGGCATACAAAATAATTTTATTTACAGTCTGTTGAGATAATATCAATATTTACTTTATCGTTCTTCAATCTTACTTTATTAACTTACATAATATTATTATATTTACTTACTACATTATGCAGGTAGAGAACTATTTACAGGATATATAATATATAAGACGAATATATAAATATTATCGTCGAGCAGATGTTTCACTGTATTTGTGAATATGTGTGTATGTATATGCGTGGATGAATGTGTCTGTATGTTTTTTTGAATCGATCGTTTCGTTGTAGAGATACATAATCGTTAAATTTTTATCTCGCGGAACAATCGGTAACAACAAGATAAAGCATCGATAAAATTGACTCTGATGAAGTATGAAATAAGTGTTGTTGAAAACCGGAGGGTTCATTAAATTATTATAATGTAAGAAAAAAATATGAATGACGTATCTCTCTCTACGACATCGTCAATGCGTATGTGTGTGAAGAGAAATGAAAGAGACAAAATATCGATTAAAACACAGCCGGAAATAAGGCATTGTTAAATGCATAACGTAGTTGGAGAGTCGGGAAAAAACGACTCTTAATCCTAATGTAATAAGACTACTTAACTTACTTTACTTTAGAAAAACTTAAGAAACTTATAATAGCACTTATGAATTTATATATGTGTACAGGGTGTCCCATTTTAACTTTTGCATTGAGATTTCTTCAACGCTACCATCGAAAAATATTTCATATAAAAAATATAGGATTTCGACGTTTTATTGTAATCATAGTTTTATTCCAGATAAGGCATTTTTTTTAGAGATTTTAAGGTCATTATTATACTTTTTTTAAACGGAGTCACCATAATTGCAACTTTTTTAAATCATAAAAGTATATTTTTTACATCACATGATTTATTTTATTATTCTATGCAGAAAATTATATTTATCGAAAAATAAAAATAATTATGATATATTTAATGTGTTTTATCAAATAAAGCATAAAATATCTTGTAAACCGTTCGTTTGTTGACTATTCTATTCCAACAAATTTTTCAACGCCAAACGTAACAAGAAATTAATTTTTGTGTAAGGAAATTATGGTGATTTCGTTCGAAAACTAATAATGACCTCAAAATTTCAGAAAAACCTCCGCTTGGAATAAAATTATGCTTATGACAAAACGTTTTGCTCGAAATCCTACAACTCTCTCTCTCTCTCTCTCTCTCTCTCTCTCTCTCTCTCTCTCTCTCTCTCCCTCCCTCTCCCTCTCTCTCTCTCTCTCTCATATAAAACATTTTTCGAAAAAAACCTTTTCAAAAAATCTCAACACAAAAATTAAAACGGATCACCCTGTATAAGGGTATAAGAGCCCAGCGATGCAAAAGTGTAATTTTCCTATCTAACCCGAATCGAGCGACTCGAGTCGCGTCTCGGGGAGAGTTGTTGCTATATAATATACTTGAAAATTTTCATTGGACATAGCTATAAATTAAGCTTAGAAAATTAATTGCAAAATTTTCTTCTGCAACAAATCAACCAACAGTTTGGCGATCAATTTACAAGCCAAGAATATTCGGCGATAATTATCTAATTAGACGACGAAATAGTGCGAAGAAAGAATATAAAAATAATTTTTATCGTAATTATTTTCGTTTTTTTTTTTTTTTTCATTATCAAGATTCTGTCTTCACTGAAATCTCGTCTCAAGTCTACCTTCAAAATTCTCTATCGTGTCCGAAATAATCTACAGTCCACTCCTCAGTTTTATCAATCACTATATTAATCAATTGCTTTCTATCGACTCGACACTTCGCTATTTTTGTGCGAGTTAGTAAGAATATTTCTTCCATATTCTTTTATTTAGCAATACAAGTTCAGTGTCAATTTTTCTTTGTAAAAATTTAACAACTGCAGATGATGTTTGTAGATGACAATTTTATCGATTATTTGTAAATTAAAGAGAGGGAGAGATGGAAAAACAAATATATAAAATTAAATACCTCTCGAATCAACTCGCACTAAGAAAATATCGAAGTGTTCAACATCAATATTTACAATCGACAATAAGTCCGCCAATAATTATCACGTTATTAATAACTAGTTCTCATTTAGGACACAAGCGGTGGAACATCGATCACAATCATCAACAAGGATCACCTTCGTTTAAGATTCAGCACTTGATTGCAACAAAATTCGAATTATGCGAATGGAAGAGACAAGTGAATCAAAGGATTATGTTCGCAATCATGAATTACATCTGGAATTTTTTCTTCCCTCAAATTCGAATTTTTTACTTCAGTTAGTGTCATCATTTTCTCTAAAAATAGCTTCTTTAAAAAAAAAAGCTAAAAGATTTTAAGATAGCTTTAGCTATAAAAGATTATGTTCGCAATCATTATTTATATCTGGAATTTTTTCTTCCCTCTAATTCAAATTTTTTACTTCAGTTAGTGTCATCATTTTCTCTAAAAATAGCTTCTTTCAAGCTGAAGCTATAAGCTTAAAACCTTTTAACTTATAGCTTCAGCTATAAAAGATTATGTTCGCAATCATGATTTACATTTGAAATTTTTTCTTCCCTCCAATTCGAATTTTTTACTTCAGTTAGTGTCATTATTTTCTCTAAAAATAGCTTCTTTCAAGCTGAAGCTATAAGCTTGAAATCTTTTAGCTTATAGCTTCAGCTTGAAAGAAGCTATTTTAGAAAAAATAACTGAACTAACTGAAGTAAAAGATTCGAATTAAAGAGAAGAAAAAATTTCGAATGTAATTCATAATTATAGCTGAAGCTATCAGCTAAAAGGTTTCAAGCTTATAGCTTCAGCTAAAATGTGAAATATTTGAAGATTATTGCGCAATACTGAACTTGGAGAAAGAAAAAAAGATAAAAGAATCAAGAAGACGAGGAAGAAAAACGCGAGTGAAGAGATAATCCTTATTGAGGCTATGATCGATGGCATCAGGCAATATTTCCCGGATTATTCAAATATATTTCCAAGAGATATCGCTAGTAGGTATTTTCTGCCTCCGTTCAAACAAATTTTCGCCGGAAGCTTCAAAGTTCGCTCCTTCCTCTTCGGCAACGGGATACAAACTAACTCGTGACACTTCCTTATTTTTTTTCAGTCCAACTGCATACTACGTTGCATGAAACTGCTGCGATAGCTGCTTGCTGGCGTTTTTGTGATGGCTGGACGTGTGTCTTTCCTGAAAACGACAAATAAAGATGTGATCCCAGATAGCACCATGTCCAAAATTCGTGCATAAGACATCGTTAAAAAATCTTTAAGACATTTTTGAAAAATCTTATGATACAATATCCCAAAGACATCTTAAAAACATCTTAAAGATGTCTCATGCACCAATTTTGGACATGACTCTATCTGGGGATGTCTGCTCTATATGAAGTAATGTAGGGATTGGAAAAAATTTTTCTAACACTCGATGACAAACAGCTGACACATTATGAAACACAAAATGTCTCATATATTCATTATAATATATTTTCAAACAACCAAGTCATCTTTGAGAATAATCCCAAGTAGCAAACTGACATCATTAGATGTCAAAATGACGTCACTTTAATGTCTAATGACGTTATTCGACATCAAAATGATGTAGGCTTGCTACTTGGGATAAAGAGAATTCTTTTAGATTTTTAATATCTACATAAACTTTTATTAAACACGAATATGACGCAAATTTTAATTTCTCTCTTTTGCATGTCTATTGTAGGTTTTTCGCAAGAATTCAATTTGAAAAGGAAAAAAGAATAATGGATAATTTGTGAAAGATTTCGTTTAAGATTAATTCTAGCATATTGGATGAAGTTTTTCGAAAAAAAAACGCGTAGTAGCATTTAATGATTAACAAATCGATTAAGTAATAATGCGAGCGAGAAAAAAATGGGAGTATAACGTGTTGGAATATTTTGTGATGATCTTTCACGCGAATGTGATTATGAGTATCGAGACAGAAATTAATGAAGCTGCGAACGAATGAGAAGCTTAATTTACGAATTCTATAAATAAAAAATATATAAATATTAAAAAATATTTAAACACCATAAAAGTGCATAGCCTACTATAGCTACTAATGCTCATGCCATACCCATGCACATACATATGCATGCATGCATGCATGTACACACGCGCGCGCGCACGCACGCACACACACACACACACACACACACACACACACACACACACACACACACACACACACACACACACACACACACGCACACACACACGCACACGCATACTTACACATCGCAGAACAATTGATAATAATACTGTTACAACAATAAGCAGCAATAACGCAATAATTGCACTCGTATAACAATATAGTAGCAACGATTGTCCTAATAATGTACCCTTCACCAAGCAATAACAAGATCAAATGACATGAGAGCAACAACGTAATTAATCTTTTTTTTTAATTTTGCCGAATTTTTATATTTGGTGTGCGTGATACTTATATGATAAATCATCGTAATATGGTATTCATATATAATATACTAAAGCCGTGATGTCCCAGGTAGCAAGCATATGTCATTTTGACGTTTAATGGCATTAGTTTGCTACTTGGGGTGTTAGTATACATATAAAAGAAATGCGATAACGGTACGGTGTGCGATTTTATATATATATATATATATATGATATGGTTTAAGAAAAAGACAAAATAATCACTAAGGTACGTTTCGTTTGAACAGACATTTTATTTGCGTTGCTCTTATATTTCTTTTTCTTCTTTTTTTGCTCGACCACGTGCCACGGTACGATTCCTGCTGTATAACCTTCTCTCCTTCTGTGTATGTGTATATATTGTGTCTATGTGAGTGTGATGGTTCCTGATAAAAATAATTTTCTTCTCGTTCGTATATATGTATGTATATTTATATATATATATATATATATATATATATATATATATATATATATATATATTTGTCTTTTGAGTGCAAAATCGAAGATAAATATATTTATTACATTAAAATAAAGATATTTCAGGTTTCTATAATTATATGATATTTTTTTTAACAATTTCTGCGTCTGTTTTTTTTAGACAGGTAGCGTACGTGACAAGTGGCGAATACACATTGTATACAGAATTTACGCAGCAATAAGTGTGTTTTCGCGTTACATATGTATATGTATATCTCTTCTTCTTCCTTTTTTGGCGAGAATTACTTGCACCTTAATATTCATATCCCTCGATTCATTCACATCCGCCGCTCATGCGCGTGAGCTCGTACGCAATTTAGTGTGACTATCGCTTGTTTAAACACTCATTTTGCTGGACAGCAGTTTAGAAACATTAATATATGTATGTGTACGCTAATTTATTCAATAAATTAACCGTTAACTGAAATCTAAATCCTTTTTTTTTTGCACGACAGGATACCAAAGTAGTAAACTGTCATTTTGACGTTTAATGACGTCATTAGACGTCGAAATGTCGTTATTAGATATTGGATAATGCCATTAAGCGTCAAAGTAACGTTATTAGACGTCGAATGACGTCATTAGAAAAGTATCTCAACTATTGATAAAAAATTATAAATTTTTAAGACTGAAAATATTTTCGTTAGAGAAAACGCAGAAAAAACTTACATATTTCTAATGTTTACAATATGCATAACATATTTCTTTCGTTTTTTTTTTACGCTTATTACATTTCTTCTGTATATCTTTCTATCTCCCCCCCCCCCTTCTCTCTCTCTCGCTCATAATATCTTACCTTTGCCATCAATCACAGATCAAATTTCAAATCACATTCTTTTATTTTAAAACATGCTCGCCATTGTTTAGCTAATTTTGCGACACTAAATATTTTGAGACAATTATTTTTGGATAATATATTCTTATTATTAAGACGAAATCTCTCAACCAAGTCGCAACTTTTTAAATCGAGGGTAACTGCTCGCTATCATGATATCATTAATTCGATACAAAAATTAAGGCCGTTATAAAATTTTCGCCACACAAAATCAAGCTCCGGATATTGGTCCAAAAATTCGTCGCGTTAATTAGGAAAGGCGATGTGATCGAACGCTATTAACATGCAAATATATGTATATGTACAGAGTGTTTCAAAAATACGTAGTCAAACTTTAGGAACGTATCCTATTCATCATAAGTATGAAAAAAGTTATGTAAACATAAGTCGGAAAAAGCTTTCTCTCTCAAAGTTAAAAATATTTTTTATTTTAATTATATTTATTTCGTTATTAGTATAAAAATATTATTTATTTTTTATTATTTTTAAAAATATTTTATATTAAAAATATTATATATTTTATTTATTTTTGTAAGACAGACATCATTAATGAAATTGCTGGAAATTATTTTTTTCCAGTTTCATGTTTGTATGATTTTTTTCATCCTTATGATAAGTAGAATATGTTATTAAAGTTTAGCAATCTATTTCTGAAACACCCTGTATATATAAACATATATATTTTTCTTCTAAATTTCTTACACGATCACAGAATATATATATAAAAAAAACTAGAGATTTACCTTAGCAATTATTTTGTCTTTGCGCTATTATCGTCGTGTTTGCACAGTACGATTACGCAGTTTCTTCACCGTGCACGTGATTTCTGTTTGTATATATTCTGTTTCACGCAATACTAGCAATATCATAGATTTACATTTGAGAAATTAATAAACGAAAATTATATAAATCGCTTAATTAATTTGCAAATTGCTTTAAATGGCTAAATCACAGAAGAGACGCGCCATTTTATTGCATTAGTTGAAAGCGCCATTTCTCAAAATCGCGACGCATAAAGGTTTTTCTTCAAAAGACGCTAAAATATCGCACTCCGAAGAAAAAACAATGGTTTTTTACTTTTTATAAAATATCGAATGTGTATATATATATATATATATATATATATATATTTTATTTTTTTCTTCTTTATATAGTATGTATATATATATATACATACTATATAAAGATTATCTAAAATAAAGTTGAAATATTCGGTTGCACACGATAAGAAAAGCCGCGATTGTAAAAGTACATTATGCTTAATAAGAAATATTTTCGCTTTCCGTGTAAACTTCAATATTATCGAAAACTAATATGTCTATATCAGAATTAATCTAACATATATATGTATTAGTTTGCATAGTAATAAGATGAAAAAGCAAAAAGTGTAATTTAAAAGAATCAGAAAAAATAATTCAAAAAAATAAGAAAAAAGTAATAAGTTCTTGAGAAAGCTTAATTTGACACATCTTTGACAATTTAATGTCAAAAAAATAAAATCTAAAATAAGTGAAATAAAGTACGCAATTGCATTTTATTATATGTGTTATAAAATGAAGAGAAGAAGTTTGCTGAAGAAAAACTGATTCAAAATAGCTTACTAAGATTTTAATGCTATTAAATAATATTTCTATATTATTAGATATTAGATAAATATCAAATTGAAGTCAAAGTGAAGTAAACCAACAGATAGGAAGAAAAAACATCAGTGGACGCTTAAAAATCAACCAAAAATAAAAAAGCAATGGATATGTGAGAAAAAACGTATAAAGATCAAGAGATAAAGAGATTTAAATTAAGGTAGATATGATAATTAAAATATAAATAGTGATCCTTGTGTGAAGCTCACAGAGAAATTAATAGATCTACATGCACATATTCACACGTATTCACACATACATATAATACATATATATGTTTAAAATATATTCGAGTTTACACGGGAAGAAAAAGTTATACATAGTTACACAAAAACACAGACAGAGGATATCATATCAGTAAAGAAGACTATCATCATCTTTATATATACTGTTGATCATAAATCCTCTGCGATTTCTTCGCAATCAACTAAATCTTTTGCGTATGTTGAAAAATACGCGATAGAGTAATCGTGACAATATTTATAACAATCAACAACAACAATACATTTTTTCACGATTTCGATATAATATCGCTTTCTGCGCGTATATTATATACAATTCTTAAAAAATATTCGTATGTATCCATATAAATACGTATACAAACATAGAGGAAATATATATCGCATGATTTAATCAACAAGTTATTCCTGAGTCAACATTTGTTCTATATAAAAATTCCACACATTATATCTCGTTGAGAAAAAAATGTACATAAAATTTAATCAAAAAATTATATAAATAATAATAATCTCCGATTAAATATAACAAAAGAGTTTGTGGTTC